CTGCAAACTGACATCCGAGGCTCGTCGTCGTCGTCGTCGTAGCCGTGGTAGTCGTCGTCGTGGTCGTAGTCGTAGTCCTAGTCGTAGTCCTAGTCCTAGTCCTAGTCCTAGTCCTAGTCCTAGTCGTAGTCGTAGTCGTAGTCGTAGTCGTAGTCGTCGTCGTAGTAGTAGTAGTAGTAGTAGGAGGAGGAGTAGTAGGAGGAGTAGGAGTAGGAGTAGGTTAGGAGTAGGAGTAGGAGTAGGAAGTAGTAGTCGTCGTCGTCGTAGTAGTAGTAGTAGTAGTAAGTAGTAAGTAGTAGTAAGTAGTAAGTAGTAAGTAGTAAGTAGTAAGTAGTAAGTAGTAGTAAGTAGTAGTAAGTAGTAGTAGTCGTCGTCGTCCTCGTCGTCGTCGTCCTCGTCGTAGTCAGTCGCGGTCGTACTAGTACGTTGTGCCGTGTGTCTAGCACCACTAGTGACTAGTGTGTACGGTCATCTTGTAATTTTGCTCCCTTGGTCACCTTGCTCGTTGCCCCGGTCATCTGGGTCATCTGATGTCATCTGTGTGTGCGGGCAAGATGACCAGGTCATCTTGCAATCTTGGTCATCATGCCCCACTTTCCCGACTAGTTTACCATTCAGACCAAGATAACTGGTCAGGTCGCACCCCTTAGTGGTTCCAGATTCCTTGCACACTGTACTAGTCCTAGTGCTAGTGCTAGTTTTAAGTGTAGTTGCAGCGGCAGCAGGAGGAAGTAGTTTCGTAGCAGTTGCAGCAGTAGCAGCACGAGGCGGAGAAGGAGGAGGTGCAGCAGCAGCAGCAGTCGTAATAGTAGTCGTCGTCGTCGTCGGACGAGGAGGAGGAGGAGGACAGGTCGTAGTTGTAGAAGTAGTTTCGTGGTACTGACTAGTATGCCTCGTCGTAACTAGAACTAGCACTTCACAACTGGTAGATAAGGCGATCGCCACGTGACAACGTCAATCTCGTATCGCATGTCTGTCTATACATCGGTGTCGTGAAATGGGCCCATCTGCTTTTGCATTCGCGTTTGTGGCCTCTATCGATTCTATCAGGTTCTTTGGTCCAGCCATGGCGCCTCGCATGCAAGCCCGGAAGCGCCGCAGCAGCACTGCCCTGCCAGCAGCGAAGGTGGCCAAAACCAGACAGGATACAACTGCCCTGGTGGCCGAGCTCGTGACTGCTCTGAAGCGCTCCTTTCATCAGAACAGAAACACAAAAGATGCCACCGCCATGGCCGGGTATGTGAGCCTCGGGCTGCTCAGAAGCCTGAATTTCCCGTTGCGTCGGAAGGGCTGTCTTTCCTTTGAGCCTATGTAACAAATCAGAAGCTCCTTTCCGAGAAGCTACTCCACATTGGCAAGCAGCAATGACGGCGCAGGAAGGGCAAGTTCCCTTTCTATGGCCTCAAAGCCCCCTTGCGTCGGCAGCTGGCTGGCGAAGTGCTCGCATCATGGAGCCTCGGAAGCATTCCATGGGAGGCTGATCGTGCTCCATCCTGCGCACATCGCCAGGCACGTTTCTCAAGACGACAGTCGTTTGCAATAGAGGCTGTAGGGGCCTCACTGAGTTGCATGTCCCGAGCGAAAACCCACGGAACATCCAAGGCAGGCTCGTCACCAACATGACATCGACCAGGTGTGGCGGGGTGGGGAGTTGGTCATTATAATTTGCTGATACCCCGTCTGTCATGGACTATAATAGTTTGCCCTGTGAACCTGCCGTAGCAAGGACGTGGCGCGGCAACTGCTCGAGGAACTCTACTGCTGTGGCTTGATATTATGACATGTCATGTTCAACAAATTCCAGAGCGTGGCAGTTGTCGCAGTGAGGAGAGCAGTGGAGTGTTGAAGCCCACGCAATCCCACACCCAAATGCTCCGAGGCAAAGAGCGCGAGCTGCACTACGTGGGTGCCGAGGTTTGCTCTGGACTCCTGCGGAAAGGCCGTGTCGGTTGCGATTTCCTACCCGCATCTACGATGCAGTTGGCATCAACAGAATAAGCACTCGCTTGCAGACTATCCAACCGTCATTCTGCACTAATTAGCTTTGATTGGCTAGATACTGGCTGTGCCAGCTTGAACCGAGCCGGGCTGAGGTTGTAAAGCACGGCGTTACCAAGAACAGCTGGTGGGACACGGTGGACATTTTTGCCGCGTCATCAATGTCGCCCTACCTGCTGGCTTGCGGAGGTGGAAGCGCTCCAAGTTCAGATTTGCTTCAAGAAATGGACCAGTGGGCCGTTTCGTCAAATGTCTGGCTTCGCAGAACTGCCATCCTTTGCCAATTGAAACTGAAAGGACTTACAGATGTCAGAAGGCTTCAGCGTTACATCCTCCTGAACGCGTCTGACAAGGATTTCTTCGTGCGGAAGGCAATTGGCTGGGCTCTCCGTGAGTATGCAAAGCATGACGCAAAGTGGGTGAAGCAGTTTCTCAAGCAGCACAAGGACCGGCTGTCAGGTTTGTCCGTGCGCGAGGCGAGCCTGCATTTGAGCATTTGAGATCATCCGAGCGGTGTACAGCCTCTCCTGTTATGGTACCACCATGTGCCACACGTTCCAACCCGAAAGCTTCGTGTGAAAGACACGGAGCGAGTAGCAAATTTTGTTTCGCGGACCTGGCCTCCTTTGGCCAGCCTCTGCAGAGCTCTTCGGTGCTTGAGCGGTTGAAAGAGCACTGGGCGGCGCGTGGCCTTGTTTTGCAGTAAGGGTTGCAGTGGGGAGCTGCTCGCGACCGTTACACCCTGTGCACAGGGACTTTTTGGTTTCCTGTGGCACTCACTTCATCACGACCTTGCTGGTTGTTAATGTGAATTCTAATCACTCTCAAAATTAAACAGTACCAGTGTTGGTCTGCCGTTTCGCAACGACACTGCCCTTCTTTTCGTCGTGGCACTGCACCCCAGCCGATGTATCCGCCAGGTTGCTTCGGAGCTCCGGGAGTTGCGCCTGCAAGCCGTGCTCAAGGTGGGCGAACTTGGGAGCCGTCTTGAAGATGGAAAGAGGCACTAGCGACTAGCTGGCCGGAGACATGATGCCTTTGTTGGGTGCAGTACAGATTTGCATTTTGATCGAGTGGCACTTTGGGTTGTGTCTGGTTGGACGGGGTTTCGGAGTCCTGCATCTTCTGGGTTTCATGACTGCCCAAAATCGAAATGTGGGATGCACGGCATGTGTCAGATCTTCGGCGCAGCTGCTTTCCTCAATGCAGCCATCATGCAGGCAAATGGTCCCAGATGGTGGCACTGCGTAGTCTGCGAGTGATGATGGAAACGTTTCGTTTTAGCATCATATAGGTATCCACAAATGTCGTACTAGGTCTTCGGTCGAACAGGTCACCGATGGAACCAGTGCTGTCGTTACAAGCTCATGTTTACATTCGAATGAACATCTGACTCTCAGAGCTGCTGCCGTCCAAGCTCATGTGTTCCACGTGCCGTCGGGAATGCTCTCCTCACAGCGCTTCGAGGAGAGCACGCGATTGCTTCAGGCACGGCCAACAGCTACACGGTATTTGAAAGAAGCACTGGTCAGCACCTTGCGCAGCATCTCGAGCCACGTGACTAGAACGTAGGGATGCGAGACATGGGCATGTGCGAACTGATTGAGTGGTTGTTAGAGGTGCTGCCTGGCTCAACATGCAGCAAGTACGCACAACATGCTTTTTGTTCCTATGTCTGAGCAGTTCCAGCATCGTGAGTGCAACAAATCCCTACGCCCTAGCTGTACCGTAGTGTCGGTTCTTAGAAGCGTTTGGGACGCTGCGGTCGCCCCAGCGCCATGGGCCCTCCGCTGGAGAAGCAGCTCGAGACCAAGGAGAAGGAGTCGCGAGACGAGCTTAGAGATCTTCTGCGGCGCAATGATTCGTACGACCCGCAGTGCTGGCATCTTTCAGCTGCGAGGAGTTCCGGGATCTCAGAGAGGCACGATCTCCCGTGCTTGTCTAAGGCTACCTGCAAGTGCAGTGCGCTGATCCGCATCCTCAGATTGACAGTCCGGGGAAGTCGCAGTGGGCTGTCCGTGCAGAGGGATCCTTTTGTCTGACCGGCCAGCGGCCACCCGACCATACCTCCAATGTACAAGTGGCGCTGACTAAACTTCTGCAAGCAACCGAAATCTTCTTGGGGCTGCCGACACTCGCAGTACCCCGAAAGGCTGGAAGCCCACGAAGCCCCATCAGCGAGTCTTACTAGACTATGATACAAGCCTTTACAGGCAAGTGAGCCAGTGGGCAAGTGTCAGGAGCTGGAAAACGAGCTCCAGAGTACGGCGCTACCGCTTTTGGAGAAGGCAGACATCGCGCTGGACATGTTGGACGCGCGGCTGATCTTGGAATCCGAGGTCAGTAAGTCGAGTTCAGGTTCGATGCAAGTCGGAATTGCTGCTGGTTCCCTTCAGGAGGCGCATATGGCCCATAATGATGGATTATAACATATTCTACACGAATTACTGTGTGCACTAGTCACCAAGGTCGATGCCTTCTACAGTAGCATTCCACGCTCAGGAGATGAGGGACATCGCAGAGCTCAAATCCATGAAAACGCCTCAGGACTGCGGGCTGACGCAGGGCATCAGGATGACTCGCCCGTGTTGTCGCGAATTTAATGCATCGCTTTGGGTATGCTATGGGGCAGAGCCAGGCACGATGCACATTGGCTCCAGTCTAGGGCCGATCTTCGACTGCGAACTACGGCTACAATAGCAGTTTAATCTCGGTCTTTCGCCATGCCAGAGAAGGAGGGCTTGGAACACATTGTGGATTCGAGCGGATGTTCTCCGGGCGAGGCGAAGTCGAGGCACTAAGGTTTGGTTTCAGTTAGGCACTGGCATATCGGGAAGCTTGTGGAAGACACCTCTCGATCTTGCTGGCAGACATGCCTTAGTTGGTTTGCTTGCCAAACATTTCAGACCATTGCGCAGCCCCCCTTCAGGAGCAGCTGAAGAAGATTATGGCCACCATTGCTGCTGTCGTGTATAACGTGGAGGTGATTCAAAGCATGTGCAGTGTCTGTAATAGATGTTTGGCGTAAAAGCCAGAACAACAGGGTGACAAGTGCGCAGGTGAGGACGGAGGCTGATTGGAGAGCCAAAGCCGGCCACTCTCTAGCCACTAGGCAAGCATCGGTGTCGAAAATACTTGTCTTGTTGGCTGGACGATCTCCGTGTTTCGTCTCTACATCTTCACGGCATTGGCACCATTCGCCATCTCTTGCAGTGTCAAAAGCTACAGTATGCTGGCTGTGCTGTAGCCCACCTCTTGCAAACAGCTGCTTCCACTATCCCCACTGCTGCTGCTGCTGCTGCTAGTGCTGCTGCTGCTGCTGCTGCTGCTGCTGCTACTAGTTTCAGTTTCTCTGTCTGCAGCTGCTGGACAGACTGCGACTGGCGACCACGACTGCGACTGCGATTGATTGCGACGACGAGGAACATGACGATGAGGAGGAGCAGGAGGACTTCGACGACTACTGCTACTCTTAATTCATGTGGAGCTGCTGCTCCTGCTGCAGCTCGCCAGTACTGCTTCAGGTTTCACGGTTCAGTTGCATCTCCCGAGTTGCGTGGTCTTCGAGCCCAGGTCCCAGACCTCAAGGACTTCCAGCGTGACGAGATCCTTGTGGAGGGGTCTGCGCAGGTGAAGCAGCTTGAGGAGCATTGTGCTGACGAGGAGCTCAGCATCCAGGAAATGGAGAAGCCGTTTGGACCCACATAACAGTCTCATTCAATTTCTGCTGCTGGCTCGGATTCTGCTTTGCAGATCCGCTGGAGAGCGTTGGACCAGGCTTACGCAAATGCCCGCAATATAGCAGTGAGATACCAGAGAGCATAAACTCAAGTGGCTGTTGACACGTGAGAACGCAAGAATGATGATTCGTTTCCTAACCCGCAGCTTGACAAAAGCGCAGAACACTAAACTAAACTTGTTCCGTTCCTCAGGTTCAAAGGTCCGAGGATCGCGAAATGTTTGAATACCTGGATTTGGGCGATGCGTGGTTATGCAGAGATCCGCAAGAAGATTCAGCCAAGAATGGACAAGATGCGCAAGCTTGAAGTGGAGGTCAGAAAGCTTTATGAAGAGAAGAAGGAGCTGGAGAGCAGCAAGCCCAAGGGTTGATAGTGTAAATGACGCAAAGCCGATCGACGCAGGAGTGATCCTATACCTCTCTGCGAGTCTTATGGCTCCTGCTCATGCTGCTGCAAGACGCAGTCGGTAAAGCATGTTTCACTCGGGAATCTACCCTGCCAACGCTCCTGAGGGGAGAAATGAGTGCAGTGGGTGTGGCCAGTGCCATCGCGCCAAGCATGATCTACTGGTGACAGCTGCAAAGCGTTTTTTCTCATGCACTCGCGCAACATGCGCGGTTTTTCGTCGGGTGGTGTTTGTATCGCTGTACCGGACTGAATGTCAGCTTGAAGACTGCTGCATAGTATTCCGAAACCAGGATGGTGTGGAAGCAGTCAGCCAAGCTCCACAGCTTCTCCAGGACAACTGGTAGTCTTTCTCAGCACGATTTCACAATGGATCCCTGAACTAACACATCGCAAGCCCTGACAGGAGGGTGCCGAGGCTTTCGCGGAAACAGTTGCTTCGATTCCCGAGGCGGTCCAGGCCCGCCGCTTCTTGGAACTCCATGTCCGTTCTTCCTCTGTTCTGTATTTATATTATATTTTATCATATTATATCATATTATATTATATGTCATGTTATACTTTCAGCATGTAGTATATAGTATATAGTATATGATATAGAGTATATATTATATATTGTATATTGTAGATTATATATTATGCAATATATATTATATTATATTATATTATATTATATTATATTATATTATATTTGATGTGGCTGGCTATCTTCAGGTCGGTGCTCGTCGTGTGCAGGAAGGTCTTGCGGCCGTTGCACGGAGCGTCTCGCGGTCTTTCTCCGCGGGACCGTCCTACGCACACCGACATCGAGACAAGGCTCCAGTCAAGCCCAAATATGACCCTACGAACTTTACAGCACAGATACGTATCAGAAGCCGCTGTGATTTGTGATTATGGTTGTTCCTGTTGCAGTGCCACCCGTCAAGAATTTTTTCGTGGTAAGCGGTCCTCATCCTCGTCCTCGTAGCAGAGTAGTCGTACTTGCAGCAGATAACAGCAATAGCCATAGTATGATATCAATAATAATAACAATAATAATAATAATATAATAACAATAATAATAATAACAATAATAATAATGACGATAGTAATAATAGTATCGCTGTTTCGCTCCCCGAGGCGGAGGCCCGGGCGCAGGCTAGGGCGAATAAGGAGGCCGCCAAGCAGTATCAGAAGCTGCAGTGGACAGAGGCCATGGAAAGAAACCTTCAGATGCTCGGCTCCGGTATGAAAAGCTTGCCAATGTTCAAGAATCAATGTTGGGGGTAGTTTCGTAGCTCTCTGCAGACAGACTTCGAAGGGTGTTTTTTTTTGCAGGTCTTGTCTAAACCCAAGGATGCTGAAGATCATCATCGAGCATCGGAGAAACCAGCTCCTGCTTGCGGAAATGGAGGGAGATTGGGAGAAGAAAGCCGCTCTGGAAACAGAGGTCAAGGATCTGAAAGTCCGTCAGGCCAGGCTGTCCTGCGCCCTTTGGGTTCAGCCAGAAGACCTTCCTAGCTCAATGCAGCTGCTGGAATCAGAAAATCCCCAGCAGCTTCAACAGGAATTGGAGCTGCTGTTGGAGAAGCTCGGGCTGGTTCCACCGAGAAAGCATGGCGTCTTCGATGCGCGAGAGCTGGTCGCACCAACCTTGGAACAGGCACAAGCCATCGCAGAGACCAAGCAGGAGTCAGAACCAGCACCTGAACCAGCGCCCGCGGTGGTGCCTGCTTTGGCATCAGTGGCACGAGATGCAGAGAATTTGCAGCAGCAGACCTTACCCTTAACAGGGCTTCGGCTTCCGCTTAGGTCACCTGCCCAATCGGGACAGGCCGACTCACCATGTAGCATTCCACCACGCAGCCCGGTGCAGAAGGGCCCACGCCCTCACACGCCTCGAAGGACAAGCTCCAATCAGAAAGGAAAGGAGGGGAAAGGTGGAAAGGCTGGCGCAGACGCATTCGGGAAAGGGAGTGCTGCAGTCGCCGGGGCCAGCGGGCCAAACAACGATGCAAGCGCTGGACAGAGGTTCGTCGAAGTCCGTGAAGAGCCAGGAAGCCATGAAGGAGCTGGCAGCCCAGGGAAGGCTTCCGTCAAGGGGCCACCAGGCAAAGGCAAAGGCAAGAAGGGCCCGCCGATGCCGAGCGACGCAGCCGGAGCTGACGGGAAGGGCAAAGGACAGAAAGGACCTGCACTCCCTGCCGGCAAGGGTGGCCGCATTCGGAAGGTGACTCCCTTGGGCCGGCGATTTCACTGGAAAGAACTGCCGGCTGACAAGCTCCAGGGCACCGTTTTTGACGACATCCATGCTTCTAACAGCCTGGAAGTGCAGTTTGATGGGCTCAAAAGCTATTTTGCGGACGATGACGAATTGGGAAAGGCTCCTGGTGCCTCGTCCACGAAGGACACATTGACATGGGGCATGCACGGGTGGCAGGTGCGCGATCGTCCATGCGCTTGTGCATGGTAGTATCGAGTAGACTAGTAGTGCAACAATAGCACAGGACCAGGAACAGCCTCAGCCACTCCTATCCAGATTCCTATTTCTACAACTATTACTACTACGGTAGATCTACAATACTCCTTGTAGTAGGCAGATTATAGTGCTAGGACAACAACAGTTGCTATTGCTGTTCTATGACGACGACTACTACTACTACTACTACTACTACTGCTACTACTGCTACTACTACTGCTACTACTACTACTACTACTACTGCTGCCAGTGTTCCTACTAATTAGAATGATACTCATAGTAACATTAAGTACCACCCTGCCACTGCTATTGCTACTGCTACCGCTCCTGCTACTGCCACTGCTGGTGCTCTCACCCGGGCCAAGACACAGTACAAACATCTTCAAACAGATCTCTCTCTGTGTGTGTGTTGTGTGTGTGTGGGGTGTGTGTGTGTGGGGTGTGTGTGTGTGTGTGGGGTGTGTGTGTGTGTGTGGGGTGTGTGTGTGTGGGGTGTGTGTGTGTGTGGGGTGTGTGTGTGGGGTGTGTGTGTGGGGCG